CTGAACATGCTGCAAATGAACCATTGTAAAATAGAACTCTATACTGATAAATATGTATAGTTGAATATTTGAATGCAAATTAATTGCATCGGATTATCTATGCGAGAATATATCAGATTAATAGACAGTTTTATTATACTAATGGTTTAGCGTGCAAAAAAAAATTTGGTGCGCTAATTCGTTAAATATTTATGGAATTTTTTAGAATAAAAATAAACCCGTAATGTTTTTTTTACACTTGCACCGAAAATGTATTCAATTTTATCGCGGCATCGATTCAGAAATCCAAATCCTTATGCATTGTACGTCGTTGTGAATCTGGCACGAAAACTATAAAACGAGAAACCGCAAATCATTTCGTTCCATATATGGAAATTGATACGTGCTATATATTTTAAAGGTTTCAACTAAAATTATAAAATACCAAAACCACAAAAAAATTTAATAAACACAGATATTTCTTTCAACAAAACAGCAAGAATTTTCCTACTTAAAGCGTTATTACTTTCCTATTTTTCTTTGGTTGCATTTTTTCGTTTTTCATTTTTATTTATATTGCTTCATTCAGATTTCTTATTAATATCTCGCCCAAATACTTAATGTGTAATTACGGGAACCACTAGAAACGAAAACCTCGTGGCTGGAACTGTTAAGTGACGTTAATGGCACTTTAGCCGCGAAGACATTCTCCTGGGAGTGAAACTCCTTCTTGTCTCTAATAGGTTCAGGAAAAACTGGAACATGTAAACAAATCTTGGAACATTTTCCTCGTAGAGACGTGTAAAGTGCTCCGAATAGCAAGCACTGTCTGCTACGTGGGCGAAAAAAAACTCGGCATGTCACCACCAACGTCGAAAGGAATCTGAAAACTACCAAGAATGCTGTGCTACGTAAGTCCTACATTTTGACCGGAATGTTATTGTATGCAAATAAAGATTTTGATTATTTTATTATTATTATTCATTAATATTGACTTACAGCGAGATATTTCTCGAAATATAGTATTTGCGAAAATATCTCTGCTATATTTGTAAACGTGAAGAAGAGAGCGAGTTTTAGAAGTAAACGACGATATTTAATCAATTGTATCTATTGTTCCCTTTATTTCATTGTAACTTATTGTTGGAATTATATAAAGTTGAAATTCCTCTTTAACTTCTAGAAATCGCAATTTGTTGATCTAATAAAGCTTCTGAAGGATCGTTTTTTGATTTATAACGAATTTTGGCGTTGAGAATTTTGAGTATTTTCCTAATGATTTGACCCGAAAAAGGTCTATCGAGAAAATCGGGATTAAATGCAAACACGAGATATTCCCCAAAGGCATAACGCTTACGACTGGACGTTCCAGTCGATTTTTTTGCCGTAGTTGAACGTTTCAGGGTTTTTAGGTTTTTGAAAGGTATCGGGGTTGAGTTTTAGCTCTGGTTCAATACATCAAAGCTATCAAACTGGACAGTTTTATTGGTTTGGATACAGAAATATCGCGTGAGTTTATGATGAGGTTTATTTTTCTTTATACTTGAACAATTTCAATTTTATACTTTACAAATTTCAAGTTTTAAAATCATTCAAAATTAGAACAAGATTAAAATAACTATCACCCAGGGAATATTTAAATTGAGATGTAGATCACTAAATAATACTTAAGGGACTGGTTAGGGTTTTACCCTGGGGATATAAAATATCCAATTTGTTGGGAGCAATTTTGGAAGCCAAAACAAAATTTTACAAGGAAGCTAAAAATTGTGGTAAATTTTTAGTCAAAAAAGGTAAAGAAAACTGCTTATTAGAGATTTAAGATAATGTAATCTTGCCCGTCAGGAAACAAGCAACACTTCCATTCTAAGACTTCCAGGGACCCCGCTGTTTATTTATGTAAATTGATACCCAAAAAAAAACTAAGTGAATAATGTAACTGCTATTGTTGGCTTTTAGAATTGTCTTCTACGGATACCAACACAACAATGGACGACAAAAGGAGCTCGTTTCGCACTTAAACATTATTTATTAATACTCATTTAGATAGGAATGATATTTATTACGTTAAGAACGTATAAACTCAAAATATTCGTTAACAAATTTGAAATCACAGACAAAGAAGAGGAAATTGTAGCTGCATTGAGATGGTTGTCACAGATGCAGGTAGCACCGTTGCCATGTTCTCAAGCGCGAGTAATTGAAAATAATGCGAGAAGTAAGTGCTCGGAATCTCCGAGACTAATCAAGAATTTATGAACGTCGAGTTTTATCGACTCTGGTACTTTAATTTTCAAACACGAATGTATCAAACCGTTAGGGAGAAGACATTCAGACGCATTTCAAACTCTCGGTTCCATCTAAAAGGGAAAAAGACGAACCGGTCGAGTTTAAACTTGCACAAGGGACGTGCTTCACTTAAATTTAATGACGATAAATTTATTCGAGCTCATTTTAATAAGAAATTCGCCGGTACAGCACAATTCTTGATTTAGTTTCGTTAATAAAGCGATTAATTACAATGTTTAAACGAAATGTCCAAATTTCTAAATGAAGGTGTTAATATGTGTACAGTTTAATAGGATCGGTTTCATAATATTAACTAGAAATGGAAATTGGAAACGCGTACAATTTCAACATCAAACCGGAAATTATTTTAAAACCACCAAAAACTATTAACTAATCTACATCCAACACAGTTTACGTTGAATGTGAAACGCTGCGACGCACACGAGACGGTGCTCGGCGGCAGCAAAACACTACTTTAATAACGCCATAAATCAAGTCACGTCACGTGTAGTTGAATAGCACACAGAACACACCTGAAGCTTTCAAAAGTCTTGTAGCCGCATAGTTAAAATTGAAAATGGAAAATGTTGACGTTCGTTAACACTTCGTTAGAGAGCCGTAAATAATCCCGAATATGTTTGTGTCGATGAAACAATAAAAACGAGACGGGAAAGTTATTTTACTGCCAAGAAGAGTATTATTTAGGTAGGACCACTTTGCTTGGTGTCATTAATTATAACAACCCAGATGGTAAATCACAACAATGGGTTTGTATTTGTTGTGACAAAGTCAAGACAATATCCTCTAATTAATTGTCGTTTTGTCTACAAAAGCAGATTATAATAGATTAAGAATTTAATTTCATTTGAAATTATATGATGGGTGTCATTAATATTATTACATTTATTAAATTCATTTTAGTAATATCTTAACGAAACGTTATCGATTTATTTACGGAATATGTGTATGTACCCCAGAAAAAAAAGTTAGCCATTACCAATATTACACGTACCTATACAAACCTTTTCACCTTTGATCTTTGTAATGAAGATTTGTAAACAGTGCGGCTTCATCAAAAGAGAAAAAGATCGTGCTTGGGTTGAGTTGTTTTAATCCCTGCTAACTATTTTTCACAACACTCCAAAGACTATCCAGATTGCATAATAAATAATTACCATTAATTTTTCTTCGTAATGCATTATTTATTGTTGGGTTAATTAAAATATTTAATATTTATGGTGTTAGTAATTATATACCGTGCAGAAACGTTAATGAGAAGATCATGTTAACTCGTTACAACAAAATAATTAATAGATCTGTCAACCAGATGAGGTTGCTCTGTATTGAGCTTAGGAGGTTCCAATTAACTTGACACTATTAGATTTATGATTGGACATTAAAATTTATGACAGTATATATTAACGCCGAGTGATTCATTCAAAAAGTGCTAACTGTTGGCAATTAATTAAAATATTAATTAACTTAAAAACGAAATTTCATATCTTCCACAAATTTTCTATTTAATACACGTTGGATATTCCCATTTTGGCGTGTTTATTGCTTCGTGTAATCAAGCCACTTCAAGTGCAGAGCGAACTAGTTAGGGATGTCATTTATAAAGCAGTCAGGAAATGTATTTACGAAACTACTTTCTAGAAAGTTTCAAAACTCAATGTTAATTTAACCAGTTTCCAAAAATCTATCCATCAAAAGCTTCATCAAAGTTATTTTTTTTAATGAACGAATACTGTATTTAAAAAAATAACGAGGAGAAGAGAGTTTGATGGAACCGAAAACAAAGCACCGGTAAATAACGCGAAAGCGAACGAAAACACACGGACAGAAAAGTTTCCGAAGTAATTCCAATTCCATACAAAAGAAGGTAATCTCGAGAGAACGAATGTATTGAAAGAAAACAAAGTAGACGATATGGTGTGAAATGGAATCGAATATTTCTATATTCTAAGAAATGTAATTCTCAGTTGTTAATGCCTCCATACAATTTCGAAATGACTAAGGATTTAATTTTAATATCGAGTCGTTTAAATAAAGAGAACAGGTGGCTTTCGCAAGCTTGGAAAATAAATTAAGTTCCATTACGGTTTTACTCATAAATACTGGAGTCCGATATCTTTTACCCCTTTGTTATAACTAGTTCTCGCACTAACGAACTTACGTGGGAAGTTTGAATAATCAATCTTGCTTAATTAACTTAGACCAAAAAAAAACGAGACGCAAATTTACTTTTCCAACACAGATGGAAGTAAAATTTGCTATTTTCTCCCCTTAGAGCTGTAAACCGAGATAATTTAATAAGTCAGCTTCTATCTTTTAGCTTGGGGTGCCTTATTAACTTAATAACATCGGGCGCACAAATCTCATTTTCATCTTGAATTGATTATGTTACTAACAACGGTAACAATAATGAGTTTATTGGTATACTAAAATTACAAGAAAATGTATAAAAATAATCAATTTTAATCATTCCACAAAAACGAATTGAAATTAAATATACGACAAAAGCACAACATAAATTATAACGCAAAATTAGGTTTATAACTATGTAGTACTAAAACATCAAAGGTATATATTTATATTTTTGCATTATGAAATTCTCTGTAATACTATTCTCACTAATAACTCCTTTGTGAACGTTAACACAATCAACAAAACTCATAAAAGTAACTTTTAATTCTTTAAATTCAAAATTTTATGAAAAATATTTTTTGCAGGCACTTCTACAAGCCCATGACGTGGTAGCCCACGAGATCTACGGGGAAGACGCAATGAGGGTAACACCTCCGCCTCTTCTACCGTATTTAAACGGCGGTGAAGACCTCGAAGGTCCGAACGGCGACGTCGAAATGGAGAACGTGACCCGCGTTCGTTTGGTTCAGTTTCAAAAGAACACGGACGAACCGATGGTGAGTTTGAATTCTCGTGACCCCCTTTTTCCAAGCATGCCTAACCCCCGGAGGCTGGAAACGCTTAATCCTCGATTCGTCTCGTTTCAGGGCATCACGCTTAAAATGAACGAGGATGGAAAGTGCATCGTTGCGAGGATAATGCACGGCGGCATGATTCACAGACAGGCAACGCTCCACGTGGGCGACGAAATCCGCGAGATCAACGGCATCCCGGTTATGAATCAGTCCGTCAGTGCACTTCAAAAAATTCTCGTAAGTTTATATATTATTTTGTACACAGTGAATTTCACTTAAGATGCAATGTACAATAATATATTTCCATAGAAACCAGGGCGTACCTACAGTATGTTAATTAATTATCGTACCCGACGTCATCATTGCAAGTATGCAACCAATATAACAGTGCAATACGCATCATACGCAAATAGCGTGTTGCAATACCAATATTGTGATATTGGTTGCATACTTGTAATAATGACGTCTGGTACGATAATTAATTAACAAACTGTACTTACTTTGTACTTACATGTCAATATAATTTGACATTACAGTAAAACCTCGACATAACAATACAACAATCTAGCCCTGAATAACAAATAAAACTAGAGTAACACTAGCACTAAAACTAGACCTAGAACCAGAAACATCTTTTCGTCTCTTAAGACGGAAACTCGGAGTTATATGAAATTCCCGGTATAATCTGTAAAATGCTTTTTATTTTATTATGCTATCTCTGTTAGTTTTTGAGAAATCAAATTTCTTTATTTTAGTTATCATTAATTATAATCAAATTTCACATTTTTAATCAATTACACCACGTAGTTATCTCCCTTACTGGAGAATTCACTTAATGAGTACCTAACTACGTTTGAGTACATCGAACAAACTTGTTGGCAAGTGGCATTATAACATCGTTGTTGTTTAATTACCCGCCGTCGTGTAATGTTTCTAGTGTTCGTTTTCTCGGCAAACATTTCCAAAACAGAGAGATGGTAGGGAATTACGAGGTTGTGTAAACGGTAATTCAATTTAACTAGCTTCGAATTTTGACAATTAGTACTATTCATTGAACATAATGCCATAACTTATTTTCAAAAAAACCGTACATATTGTGTTTGTGATGCTTGTTTGGTTTACGTGAAATGTGAAGCTTATAACTTGGGTTTATAGTCGTAAACGATATCAAGTTATAGTATCGGGCAGTTATATCGAGTATTACTATAACTTTACGACAGCTTTTATGCGTTTTAAAATATCGTACGTGATGTAATAAAGAAAAGTTTTGAACGAATACGATACGTTTTGGATTATTTTAGATTATTTTTTTATCAGATATATTATAATAAAGTTTCTTAACATTAATATCCAAAGTTTCTAACTAAACTAAGTAGGGCTGAGTTGTGTTGGTTATGGTGTCTTGGTGTATGTGTTTGCGAATTCTCCTCGGATTCGTACTTAGTTTCAAACAACTAAAATTTGTGGATTTTTTTGTTGATTATGTTTTATTATTTTTTGTTTCAGAGGGAAGCAAGAGGTTCAGTTACATTCAAAATAGTACCCTCGTACAGAAGTGCACCGCCGCCATGTGAGGTAAGAATTTTACCTCTTGTTCCATGAAACTTTCCACACACTATATTCAACTCACGTTCGCGGAACCCCTCCACGTGTTTGCATACAGTTTGGAAGTCAGGCTGCGTCGACGAGCTTTGGTTGGGGTCAAGAGTTAAAAAATGACCAAGTTTTCGGGGCACATTATGTATGACGATGAAGCGTTTGCGGTGCATTTGAATTATTAAACCCCATGATCATCGACCCACTCCTAACCACGTAATATTTCCATAGCATCCGGTAATATTCAAAATTTGGGGATGGGATTTTAGGAGGAGGTGTATTTGAGACAGACCTAAATTACCATGTTGGTAGTTGTTGGTGATAAACAGCCCTTGATAACCGCGGACTGGCCGGATATTATTGAGAGTGAGAGAGGGTTGGAAAGGGATTCTATCATCTGTAGTAAATCACAAAGCACATCTCATCACAGCAGATATTCGTGTCGAATATGCGTTCCGAGTATATCTCGCTAACTTCACTGAAAGCATCCGTTAGTTACATCACAATGTACTAATATCTATACTGCTGAGTTGCTGTTTGCTGCTGTTGCTATTCACTCTCCACATCTATTTAGATAATTACTGCATTTTAACCTATTTTTTGATTACTTTGATTTTTCGCATTTTCGAGGTAAATGCCTTTATTTCGAAAATTTGAGGTGATGAAAAATGAATTAACAAAGTTTTTGAAAATATTATTTTTTTTTATTATGTTTTTAACTTATCTTGTGCTTTTGTCTGTGTAGTTATTCCGGATAAAACCGCTACCAGTTCTTGTAAGTACCAATAGGAAAATTATTAACATTTAAAAATTTTGCGTGTCTAAAGTTGTGATGTGATGTGCTTTTTTTAGCGCTTTTGCTTTTTGTTATGTATTTATCTTAATTAATATTTGTTTATATAAACATCAATTTCTTATAATTAATGCATGATAAATTATTATAAATAAATTCAAATTTAAACCTATCTATATGTATAGTTAAATTACTCCTCCGATGTTATTTGCTTGATGTATTATTCATAAACCATTATTCTCTTGGAAATTATCGAATGAAGCTCGTTTATACCTACCAACCAGTTATGGACAAGTATTTGATTAGGTAGGGGAGCGCTGAGAGTTTATAATTGATATTGGCTCCTCGATTTTCGCGAACACGTTCAAATTAACTTACCAGTAAGTTTGTTAAGGGCGAAGAGACCGCGATGCATTTCATCGTTCGGTCAGCTCTCCTATCATGTTAAATTATCGTGGTGTGTTAGCTTGGATGAGGGATATTACCCAGAGTAGAGGCATAAATTTCAGTTAATGTTCAATTGTGTCAACTGTATTGCTGCTCCATTATTGTTAAATATGACGTATATGATTAAATGAATTCTTTTTTTATAATTCATAAAATAAAATTTAAGAAACATTAATGAATGAATAGTGTTTTTTTCTTAATTAAATTTTCAATTTTTTCAGATTTTTGTTCGTGCCCAATTCGATTATGATCCTCTTGAAGATGACCTCATTCCGTGTGCCCAAGCGGGAATAGCTTTTAAAACGGGTGATATTCTGCAGGTAAGCATAATTTTAAGACGAACGCATTAATTTTTAAAGTATAAAAATAATTGGCAAAGTAAATAAAAAAGTTTGATTCTATTCTTGTCCGAGATAGAGTTGACGCTGCAGATAGCTTCAGCATCAGCACGTCTCTAACATCATCTTTTTGCAAACATTTCTGAATCTCTGTAGAGATATAGGTATGGTTGCTATGAAGTTTGAAAGATTTCTTTCATTTACTTGAACATCTCTTTATTCCAATTATAGACATATTAGGTATCCTGAAGTAGTCAATTTTTACCAATGTCTTCTTCGTTTCACAAACTGCACACCTATAAAATATAATTAATGCAAGAATTAAAGACCTAAGATATCCATCAGAAGTTAGCTGAGTGCTGAACCTCATTTTCATCCTAATGGATACATAAATAGGCAGAAATGTCAAAAACAAATCGAAAAGCCCCTATCAGCAACCCCTTCGTTTATTCATTAAATCATTTATTTAATATCTCTTTGTAGTATGACCATAAAATTACATTCTTGTCGAGATCTCGTCTTTCGATGAACGCTAAATAATCGGCTCCGGATGAACTCAGCGATGAACACATTCTCGCTTTCAAATTTACAATTGGAAGTCCTAATCATGTTCGATATGATAAGTCCTATTGTTCGATCGAAAATTCATTTCAATCTGAAATAGGGGTTTAGCAGAACTTCCACCATTGTCTGTACTATAACCGGGTTTTTACAAAAAATTCGAAGCGAATTTGATAGCAATTTAAACCGCAGCAATTCATACTGAATGAACACTTACATTTTTATTTTTTTGTTATATTTAGATAATTAGTAAAGATGACCACCATTGGTGGCAAGCTAGAAAGGACAATTCGGCTGGTTCAGCTGGTCTGATACCTTCCCCGGAATTGCAAGAGTGGAGGGCTGCTTGTGCAGCCATGGAGAAAACTAAGCAGGAACAAGGTGAGTTTGTACAATAAAATTTCCATTTTATCGAAAGTCTATTTACATAGTCTTAACTAGATAAATTTAAAACTTTAATAATAAATTTGCAACATTGTGAATAGGCGATCGAAAGTTTTGTACTTAAAAAAAGAGAGAAAAGGTATTAATTTTCAGTGGATAGAAACACGTCGCTTTACATTTCACAGTGTAACATTTCCAGCAGTTCATAACCCTCATATATTATTCAAGTATCAACGTGTTTTGTGTACCGTGCATGTTCCCAATTGGGAATATCTGTTGTCCATTATTATTACTACCAGTTATTACCTATTAGGTGTTTATCTCTCTCACTTTGGATATGATCGAAAATTGCATGTTTTGTCTGTGTCAAAATACAATTATTATTAATAAACAATTAAATCGACTCATTAAACGTAAAAATTTGATATTAAGATAAAAAAAATATTTAAATTTTAACTAAATAAATATTTAGGGTTTGCATTTTTTTAAGTTATCGTTTTTTAAACATCTTTTTTAATGCACGATTGTAAATCTCTCATACATGTTACCTGTATGTTTCTTTTGGACGTTTACGAAGACGTGGAAGATGGATGCGCTTCGCATACGAACGGTTGCGATGGTTCCACAGGTATAAAAAGTGCAACAAAGTCTTTTAAAAAGTTTCAAATTGAATGTGTTTTTACAAAATTAAATTTTTGTTGATTTTTTTGGTTTTTTCATAGATGCAGCATGAAAAATCCATATTGCACATCATCTCACAATTTACACACTATAAATAACTTTTTTGTGACCTGCTGGGAAAAAATAATAACATACTAAAAAGATATGGTTAATAAAAAAAAATTAAAATGTTATTATGCATGAATTAACATGAAATACAAAAAAAAATCTCGATACTTACATATTTTCATTTTGCTGGTGTAGTCTGTAGATTATAAAAAAAATTATTCTAAGTGGTCTAAAGAATTTTTTGTTACAGTCAATTGCTCAATATTCGGTCGAAAGAAGAAACAATACAAAGATAAATACCTGGCGAAGCACAACGCAGTTTTTGACCAATTAGACTTAGTTACTTATGAGGAAGTCGTCAAATTGCCTAGTAAGAAAATAATTATCACCAACAAAAAAAATTCTAATTCAAATTGAAATTACAGTGACGGATCCTGCGTTTCAAAGAAAAACCTTAGTTTTATTAGGAGCCCACGGCGTAGGGCGAAGACATATAAAAAATACCCTTATAGCGAAACATCCCGATCAATACGCGTACCCCATTCCACGTAAATTAATTCATAAAAAATCTTTAACCATTTTTTCATTACAAAATTACAATTTTAGATACGACAAGACCCCCTCGAGCCGACGAAGAAAATGGTAGAAATTACTTTTTCGTTTCTCATGATGAAATGATGGCTGATATTGCCGCTAATGAATATTTAGAATATGGTAAGTCTCTTATTTTATTGCGTTATGATTTCACATCTTTCGCAAGGCTGTTTTGGAACCTTAGGAAATCTAGATCAAAATCTCTAGTAATATTTTCTGTTCAACTCTATCAAAGTATTTGTTATAATCTAAAAGAATCAAGGTTGTGGATTAGCTTCTATTCGCAGATTCCTTAATTGTAGTCAAAACAATCACACTGCTTTGGATAACTTCTCCTCTACGAATCATTGTATTCTCAGGCTCAGCATGGCTTGAATGATGCTAATTGTTGTCGTATTTAAGTTCCTTCCAAGATCTCGTAACAGCAGGACAATTTTAAATCGCCACAGGGATGTTTCAATACTAGTAGTGCTATTTGGATAGGAGCAGAAACCTATAAAAACTCTATGAAATTTATTCTAGCTCTGGGCAGTGTTTTTGAAGCTCCCTCGATACCAATACTAATTTCCTACATTTTTGATTTCGCCCAATTGAAATAAGAAATAGAAACCCCATCGATTGAGACTTAGTAGGGTTGTGGTCTTATATAGTGCTCAAGGGAGGTTTTTACACTGTAACTTTATCTTGTTCAATTTCGTTTTAGGAACTCATGAAGACGCCATGTACGGAACTAAATTAGAAACAATAAGAAAAATCCATCAAGAGGGAAAAATGGCAATTTTAGATGTTGAACCACAAGCTTTAAAAATTCTAAGAACCGCTGAATTTTCACCGTACGTTGTGTTTATTGGAGCGCCAGCTTTACAAAACATAACAGACGTAATTAAAACATATTTATTTATTAAAAAAATGATTTACTTTTTTCTTTTTTTGATTCTAGTACGATGGGAGTTTGGAACGTCTTGCAAAAGAATCCGAAATGTTGAGAAAAGCATACGGTCATTATTTTGACTTATGTATTGTTAACAATGATATTGACGAGACGATTGGAGCTTTAGAAACGGCTATTGAGAAAGCACAAACCACGCCACAATGGATTCCGGTATCTTGGGTCTACTGACAGAGGCAGTCAATGGAGTTTGGCTCGCTTCAGAATTTCTAAGAGCTTTAAATATAAATATATACTAAGAAATCATACGAGAAAATAAGTAAATGAAATGATAGAAGGAAAAAATTAATTTAATAATTTCGTTTTTAAGCTATAAATTCTTTTATGTTTGAGTAAAACCAAAGAAGAAAAATTAATGATTAAGATGTTAAAAGGAAATTTATTAATTTATAGTTGTAAAGTTGATATTCCAAAGAATTTAGTGAAAAAAATTAACATTCCAAAAATTTATTAATTAATAACAAAGTTTTAACAAGTACAGGGTGATTCAAAAGTTATGAATTGAAAGAATCACCAATATAAACATTTACTGTACAAAAATTAATGATTACGTATACATCTAGAGAATTTTTTTGTAGATATTTATTGTATTATTATTATTATTATTTTGTTTTTTTTTTGTTAAATTTTTTTTGAAAGTAAAATTCTGTTTTAGGTCTGAAAAAAAAGCTGTTTTATTTTCCTTTTTTTGTTTTGATTTGATTTAAAACAATCTTTGTACATAAAATTACAATTTTTGCTTCTATATTGTTAAGGCAATTTGCGTCTTTTCTTAAAAGTATAATTACATAATTGCAAGGAAAAAATAAAAAGTATATATTCACTGTTATAAGGTAATTAACAAGAACACCAATCACGTTATCTTCTTCGTACTTTGTTGTGTTACTTCTTGGTGAATGTTTGAGTTAAGTTAAGAAAGATTAAGTAATAAAAGATTAAAAATAAATTATTTATTACGATTTTAAATTTTAAAGTTTAATTTTAGGTTAAATAGATTCAATAAAATTAAATTTATCAAGTGTGATAAGAAAATATTAATCATAATAAGTCATAAAAGTAAAAATATTTAAGAAAATTACCTTTTTTTAAATCTCTCTTTAAAACCTTTTAAACGACGTTAAATGCGTATTTATTCTAAAAAGTATAATTACTGTAAGTATTATCCCCCGAAAAGTAAATTAAAAATCAAAAAAAATTATTGTTTATCTCATATTTATTGTTTAAATATTACAAAAAAATCATAACCAGGTTTATATTAAATTTATAATAGATGTAATAAACCTGATGTTCTAGTCAATGTAATAAGTTATTTAATGATAATATTAAAAGAGATAGTTGAGAATATAGATGTAATTTAAAGCAAAATAGAATTATTATAAAAAAGATATTATGCTGTCGATTAGAAAAGCTAAAGTTTGTGATAAAAATAAGAGAAACAATGCGTTTTTAGCGAAAAAGTTTACAATTTTTAATCGAGAGTAATGGATGCGTGAAATGTTTTAATGAAAAGTATTTCATAAGAAAATCTTAAATCTTAATTTCGAAATTCTCTAGTGTATACGTAAAAAGCAACCACAACTTACACAATTTACTCAAAAGGGACAAAAAGGTTATAAGCAATATAAAAAAGTATTACAAAACGTAAATTATAATAGTTTATCGATTTTTTTATAAAAAGATCTTCCCAAACAAATTCACAAATTAGGAAAGAAGTGAAAAAAACTGCCATTTTCTTGTAACATTAAACCTAAAATTCAAGAACAATAAAAATATGAATGGAAATTTACGATGTGCACCACATATCAAAAAAAAATCTAAAACAAAGATATTTGGCACCAACAAATAATGACGATGAAACACTTTAAATAAGACGAACAATATTACAACTTCAAATTAAATTAATTTTTTTTAAATACATTAATATTAGAAGACAACGATAAACAAGTCTTCGACTACACATTAAATAAATAAAAACCACCGATAAAACGTTTTTAGTAATTTAGTTTTCTAAAAAATGAAGTGAAAAACAAGCATAAATAGCGAATTAGAGTAAGAAAATGACGATTTTACTGACTTAAGCGTCTAACTAACTGTTAAAACATGTTATTCGAGACGTTACGAATTCGTATTAAAAATAAAACGGATGTAAAAGGTATTTGTTAATAAGAAATTGTAAATTAAGTTTAAAAAGTGGAATAATTTAAGTAAGAAAGAACGATCGCTTTTTTTAAAAATTAATGAAAGGGCAATGTACCTCACACACTAAATAAATAAAAAAGTCATTACCTTACATGGATGAATTTAAATAAGGGCTATTAATCCCGTCGGTTCATAATAAATTAAGAAAAAATAAGAATTTGTTATGATAATGTAGCAAATTGAAAAAAAAAACTTAAATTTGCATTTGAATTATATGATATATGAAAGTATATATTATATATAGATGATTGTAGGTTCAATATTTCTCAAATAAAGATATACCATTTGAATCAAACCTTTTATTTCTTATTAAAAAAATTAAATTCATAATTTCCCTCATTTTCATGTTTCAAGATAGCACCATCTATTCGTTAAAAGCCAAATTAAAAGTGAAACAAACAAATCTTTTTAATTATTAAAAATTATTCATTCTAACGATGAAAAAGCAAGTTGTAACGCTTGGTGTTCATTTCGTGAGACCCATCTCAGCGATTTTTCCATAAACTGTTTTTAATTAATTTCTATAAAGAAGGACCCTACCCAAATCATGCCATCTAAACACAAAAATTCGAACTACCCGATTGACATTTAATGTGCAATAAAAATTGGGGTTATGTTTTTAAATTTGACAATTTCAATAACATTTCTTCAAGTTATAACACTAAAGTCATGGAAAATTGGCGAAAATGTATAATAGATCAGTTACAAGAGCGAAATAAAAATCAAACGCAATGTTTTCAAGAGTTAATCTTGCAAAGTAAGATATTTATCAAAACATAACCTTTAACTTATTATTCACCTTATATTTTAGATAATAAATTGTTTGAAAATGCTAACGTTTTACGTAGCGAAAACCTTAAATTACGAATAGGGGCCTTATCGGCTGGCAGTAACAGTTCAATAGCTTCCGATGGGAAATTATCGGAGAAAATTCAACATTTGGAACAAAAACTTTTGATGCAACAAGAAGAGTTAACAGAGTTACATCGAAGGAAAGGTGAAAATTCTCAACAAATCATCGATCTGAATGTGTTGGTACAAGAGAAAGATAAAGCTTTACTAAATAGAGAAACTAGGTAAAATTTTTTCTTTTATTTTGAGGTTATGTTATAAATATAAAGATGATGTATTTGATTTACTAAAATAGTTTAAATGAGCAAAAAGCGGCCAATAATACTCTTAAAGCAGAAATTAGAATGTACGAAACTAGCAAATTGGAATTAGAAAATTTAAATCAAATATTACGAGATGAACACCAAGCGTTACAACTTGCTTTTTCATCCTTAGAAGATAAATTACGAAAAGCTCAGGTTTGTATTGTTTATTAATTAAAGACATTTTTAAAATTAATATTTATGCTTAAAAATTAGATGGAGAACAACCAACTGGTTGAAAGACTGATAAAATACAAGGCTAAAGATGCTGATAAAATGAATGAAGAAAATGATAATTTTTTAAAGTAAGTATATATATTAGTAATTGATATTAAATAATTATAATTTCATTAATATTAGAAAATTTTTGTTGCAATTTAACTGTTTTGTGCTTATTTTTTATGTATATGGTATGAAAACCATTAGCTTTCTTTTTTTGTAATACATTTTTGCAGCAACGTCTCCAAATTTCCTTTGATTCGCGGCACTTTCGATCTTTTCAGGTAGGTTTTGAGTAGTTATGAATTCCGGATGAGGTGTATTATTGCATGATTTGAAAAAATTGTTGGCTGTTGGGGTTCTTTGGTACTTTTTCTTCTAGAAATGTTTCTTACAATATATTATTTTATTTAATTGAAATATTCAGAAAAATTATTTTGTAGATTACAAAAAGTTTTTTCCATCACATTATTTATGGGAATTAATTAATGGTTTTCGCTTCAAGTTGTTGCTTTGAAAGTAAAAAACTTTTGGTGCTACACCAACAAGCAAATATCAAAGTGAAGAAAATTTTACAACCATATAAAAGGAAACATTACCTTCAAAATCCTCATTTTATAGCAAGTTACCAGTTAAAGCTAAATATTGTCACAATATCAATTCCAGTGAACAATCACTGTAATATTGTCTTGTTATTATGTTATAAATTTCGAAACACAACGCCCATTGATGTATGCTGATTGACTTGAAGATTGTTCAATGAATGCATTTACTATATTCACATGTTTAAGAATTCTGACAGACCAAGATCGTTCAGATTGTTTTCTATTTATATTTAGTGTCTATTTATATTCCTTCTCCATGTTTTCTCCATGTGCCATCTAGCCCACGAAATATTAGAAGGATTTAATTTTACCAAAGGAAACAAAACAAATATTTATGCTTACAAACTTCTTTATCATTGATACGTATTACAAGATCTAATTCATCATATTTCATGCTTCAAGCATACTTATCTGAATAAAATGACCAAGAAGCTATGATATATAATAAGATATATAAGAAGCTATATATCTAAATAATTTTCTTAATTTAAGTTTTTTTATTTCTTTTACTCTCAGGTGATGGTAAACATGTTGTTTTCTTCTAAACTCTTAACATATTTTAACTCAATTAATGAACTTACTTAATAGATTTTGCATGATGTTTTTTAAATTATATTAATTTTAATTTACATTAAATTCTATTCCAATAAATCAAGATAATGTAGTTGTGATATTGTTACAGAAAACGTAACGCGAAAATGCAAAAAGAACTGGAAGAAGCGTGTCGTGATACCCGTGGAATATCACCTGAAGATTTAAAGGAAGGTGCTGGACCCACATACCACTCTGTACTGCCAACGATAGCTGCTATAAAATTCGTAAGTAACCAAAAACCTGATTAAAAATGTATAAGTTTCAATAAAGAAATGTTTTTAAATTAATTTGTTTTTTTTTATTTTGAATTTTTATGGGGATATTGAAAATGTTTTAGAAACATATTTTTGAAAACTATTTTGACTACAATTTTTTGAAAATAATTTTTAAAAAGGTAAATAAATAAAGTTTTTTTTGTTTTTGAGTTTTTATATTGTAATATTGTCCATTTTTCTTTGGTAAATTTTGTTACTGTAACATTATGTGCATTTTTTTAAATTTTCTTTTATAATTAGGATGCGCATGACGGTGAAGTTAATGCAGTTCGATGGAGTCCTGTAGATAGAATTTTAGCAACTGGCGGTGCTGATCGCAAGGTAAAACTATGGGATATTTCAAAAGGTTAGTTCTTTTTTATGTTTATAATCAAAAAAATTAATTAATTTATCCCAAAAAATTTCATCCATTCATATTCAACTAACTTTGTGGTCTAATCAAAGCTTTTTCTTTATAATTTTCCATAAATTAATTTTACTAACTTATTTTCCCCCCATTAATTTTTTCCTTGTTATGTTTCTTTTATTAAAAATTCTTTGTTCGTGGTTTGTTAATGTTTTAATTTATTTCGCTTTTGTGTTGTAAAGTAATAAATTTCTTATATGACTTTAGCTTATTATGTTTCTACAAATAAAAAGTTATCATTTTTTAACGTTCATGTACGATTTCTAGGGTCTGAAGGACGACCAGGTGAGTATTGTTCTTCATTAAGTAATTGTGCAGAGATATCTCAAAACTTATGTAGTGTTAGTATGGATAGAAATTCTTTGCTTTTAATCATCTCTTTAATATGCTTCCTATTAGATCATTATTAAAATATGTTTTTCTTTCTTAGCTTTTTTAACTTCCTTTTCCTGTTAGATTATTAACTGATTTTCAAACATTTTTAGTTTTCCTAATAACTTTTTACGATTTTTTTAGGTACTTCGGAATGTCGAGGTGTGCTGGTAGGAAGTAACGCTGGAGTTATGTCCGTGGATTTTGACTCAACTGGAACGATGATCATCGGGGCTTCCAACGATTACGCCAGCAGGGTGTGGACGTTATCCGATATGAGATTAAGGGTAAGTAATTATTTATCTAATTTTCATGGCATTTCATTTATATTATTTATTAGTCGTGCAGCTAATTTAAACGCGATGTTCTTAGAATGGCAAATAAAATAATTTAATACATAACAAGCTGGAGAGTGTTTTAATAATGGAAAAGTCCCTCTCTAGTAATGTACTGTGCAATCGCTTCCTTCTTATTACAATAATGCAAACAAACTAAACAAAGTAGATCTAATGTAAGGCGCCCGGGGCGATACTATTTACAGGTTTAGTAAATGACATGCAGAATCTGCATTTAGCATTTAGTGAGATGCGACCGATAAGATCCTTCTAACAGTTTGATTTTAATATGCGGAATGCCTACCTAACCACTATCTTTTCTATTTATTTCATTTTCAAGTGGCGATACAATCTTTTAAATGATTTCCATGCTATGATTTGGAGGAATCTAACGTGGGCCATCAATAAATTCTTGTAATTCTTAAGGATTAGTTATAGGTGTCGTCGTTCTCGTAGACACCACCTCATTATCGCAAAATTTTATCTCGGGCACACAAACGGCAGTCGTTAGCAGGCGATCGCGACAATTGCGGCACTGGTGGGCAATAAAATTAAACGCGTCCAAGAGCTACCGCTGCACAGTGCTGGCGTGGTGGCGACTTCGGACCACTCCGGGTGTTCTGGAAAAATCCTCTTTCTGCAACTTTATAACAGTTTGTTGAGAATCCGGTGTGTTAGAAACCGGCTGTTGGTAGAGCGCCCGTTAGGAAATACCTCGTGTTCAATTAGACGCCGTGGGAATGCTGAGTGTTGATGACCAGTTTCTTTTTTATTTAGTAGACAAATCTCCCGAGGGATGAAACTTCTTATGGTTACTTCCCGCAATGAGAATTATTTTAACTTTACAAGAATTGGGTAATCAATACTCCAAAAGAATTTCTCGAAAGTTAGCCCTATTTTATCTATTTTTATTACATTACCAGATATGGTAACAGAATCTGCAAAAACAGGGACTAGATAAGAAAATGATCGTAGAGGGAAGGCGATTGTGGAAAGAAGACGATGGTAGAAAGAAGACGATGGTAGAAATGAGATGATCGTAGAAATAAGTTGATCGTAGAAATAAGACGATGGTAGGAAACCGTTTCTTCGGACTATAAAGTTGAGTGGCGAGTGGTAGTAAATGACGGTGCAATTGCGGAATTCCGCGAAGCTCACAAAGAGAGTCTAAGGATAAAGGAGTAAAGTAGGGCCCTATTGCCGCGTACTTTTTTTTCAGCCCCCACCGTTAGTCCTTCGATCGTAATTTAATACCGTGATAGCTAGATATAGAGGTCACGTTCTGGTTGCGCCGTTCTCGCTTTCGTTCGCGTAATTACCGGAAACTGTTGGACGTCCGTCCCCGGCGTGTTTATCGGAGGCGGAGGTCCAACGGGTTGGGTCGTGGCCCCCGCCTTAAGCCGTCGTATAATTTCCGTACTTTTACGCCATCGTCGTTCAAATAATGGCGTATTAATAATCGGTCCGGGCCGTTTCGGATTGCATCTGGTGGAAAACGAGAGCGTGATCGTCGATTCCGGTCCACTGTATAGAGACCTGCAGACTTTCCCTTCGCGGCACGAAGTCATTATATCGTGCCAATAAGGCCCCCGGTATCTCTTCTCTTCAACCACACCACCGAGTCGATTCTTGTGCTTCTTGCCGACTCGACGCTTCCTTGCTCCATTAACTCTTACGGTCTTTACTTTACATCGCCGGATTGAACCGATATCTAACCGTCGTTCGGGGCGCACTTCAATCCTCTACGGGTCGGCACAAAGCGGCGCGCGCGCGATCTGCCTCTAGGGTAAGATGAATAATTAACTTATTAACCGTGACAGGTTCTAGAAGCTTGTACTCACTCTGCCCGACGTTGGCTTTTGCTTCACGACCATAACTGTCAACAGTTAAAATATCTTTGGTACTATCTTCCCGTCTCGGCTACTCACGGATTAAACCTTCATTCATAAGCCAACAATCTACCGTCGGGATCTTCAACTGTGTTTATTTATATCTTCTTTATATTAAACAATTAAATCGTATCTAATCGACTTAAATATAAACCAGATTTCTTTTGGATCCCATATCAAGAAAAACTTATTTTAAAAGTACTTTTTAAAATTTATATAGCAATAGATCGCGATAACCCAAAAGTGCATAAAGTCGAATGGGCTAATAAAATTCACGACCGAGATGAATAACTTATTTTAGTTAGTGAAGAGCGGACCGTAAAAGTATGAAACTTCTGAACGCTTTTATTGCAGATTCAGCCGTTTTTAATGTTTTGGCTTCGCAGTAAAGAGAAAACGGAATTGGACTCCAGCAGTTCTACAAGTTTGTTAAAATCCTCTATTAATGGATGGCGTCTACATTCAAAATTTCTTTTTTGTTATCAAAATAATAAACTACTTGTAATTATTACATTCCCAAGTCAAACTGCAACGTTAGGGACTTAAAATAGATATTAGGCTTAATTACCTACGCTCTCGGAACAGCTATAAAGTAAACAAGATGGGTTAATTGCGAGCCACTTTGCGTGCATATACTTTATAACTGCATTTACATGGAATTAGATACACCTCAACAAAAAATAAGTTGAAATAAGTCTAACTAATGATGACATCTTCGAACCGACCAACAAATCCGGTTACATCGAAAACCATCCCGATTGACTTCCGAGAGAACGAACACGTACGAGAAGTGTTCGTTTTTAGCATTCCAGAGAAGCGGTCGCCCGTAAAACCGAAGTAGAAAACGCTGATTGTGTCGTAAATCATGGACGAAACCGATACCCCGGGGTTTTGAGTAGGCATACTACAGAAAACGACCAAAACAACCTTATTCCAAATGATAAGATCGCAGGGATTCCCCCTTTTCGTGGTGTCGTGTGCTAGAAGTCCTACACCTGTAGAGACGTTCTCGGGGAGATTAGACGACTCTAATGACCCATTAACAAGAATTTACACTACCTTAGGCGCAAAATTTAATGGGGATGTTGAAAGTGGGTGGAACTTTATAGTTATAAAGTTGGTTTGTGATAGATTAATGAAATGGAAAGTTTAGTAACCATGAAAATGGTTTAGTTAATGAAAGTGTTTAAGTTTAAATAAGCGAAGCGTTAAATGCGAAGAAAATTAAATTGAGCGGTGAAGATAATATCGAGATGTTCGATGTTCAGCAAACTTCTATTTGATACTTACATATTTTAAATGGTTATTATAAATTGCTTTAAGGAAATAATCTTAACAGCAACCTCTATACAATGATATAAACCAGGAAATACATTCATGAAAGGTATGTTTTTTAAACAAATCGAGTAGCAATCTGATTCTATTGTAGAAGAGAAGGAAAACCTATTTATTATCTGGCGAAGAAGAAATATCCTCCAGCAGGAGATTGCTTACGCAACAGCCGAGGGATTAATAACGGAGCTACAGTAAAAACTGGAGCGTTATTAATCGACGATTAGGAACCGCTGGGTAACGCGTTACTCATATAAACGAAATTAGCTTCGCCGCGAAGCAAGATTTACCGTGAGAGCGCGCACCGATTCCGCTTAAGTTCTTAGTCTTCTGTAGACGCGGTCTCTTAGTCTTCTTTCTTGTCTTGTATAGTTTGGAGAGTTTAAGGTGGTCTCAACAAATGGTTACCACAAACGAGTATATAAATTATCAATTATCCAGTAACAGCTGCTACAATAATTGCGTCTGTCGTTGAGATACAACGACGAAAACGAGGGTGAAAGTTAATGCTTACATTAAATTCCATGAATTGCTCGGGAGTTTAGATGAGGAGACCACTCCTTCCGCTGCTTCCTTATCGTCAAGTTTGTCACGTATCGGCATTAAACCAGTCTTAATACTACATAAACGGTATTACTAACAGTTAAGAGGCAAAATGCGATCGTTGAGATAAACAATTTAGCACGGGGAAGGTTATTACCGGACGTGGAAAATTGGAACATTAATCATTTTTAAAGAATCATTTTAAATGAGACTAAAATAAGATTTTTTTGTACGCAATGTTTATTTTGTTTCTAAAGGACCTTGGGGTCGATTTTGAGGGCAGAACCGAGTCGTAATTCATTATGCATTCATGTACAGAGGCGGACTGGACTATGAATGATTGAGTTGAAGTTTCGGTCCGTGAAGCTTCTGAGCCTCTACGAGCTGACGAAGCCGTTAACGGGACTTTAATGTCCGACCCTTTTTCTGCAAACTTGACGAGATCAACGTAATAAATAAGTTAGCCAAGTTAATCAGCTGGGTTAGATTTTAAGGGAGGGTTTAATCACAACAAAAAGAAACAAGTTTATTAAACAGAATTAAAAAGTTTTGTTGTGTTTAATTTTTTTGTGATAACGTGTATGTTAGGGAATTTTCGGAACGCGTCATGTTAAAATTCCGGGTTTTTCTGGCGGAAAAACCCGGAATAGTCGATTGGTTACGCACCACGCGTATGTGTGCCGTTTTAATTACAATAGAGAGGGTGGTGTAGACATTTGACACGCACTACGGAGCGTGTATGTTTCCCGCTGCACCACGTCGACCGAAGAGAGGTAATTCATGACGCAGTTCTGTGGGAAAATGTCCGGCATAATTAAAACATTTTCCGAACTAAACCAAACTTTTCGCCCATTCCAAAATCAAAGCTGTTAATAACTAAATTTAATAAACAGCAAAAATATTTAACGAATTCTTTAAAAACCTTTAAAACGCGTGTAGTTTCAAAATGAGGGTGATCACCGATAGCGATCACGTAACGATTACGACCCAATTTTTCTTCGGGGCCCATAAAAATGTTTTGGCCCATTTCACCCTCTCTCGCGGCGGCACCCCTCTTCGAAAGCAGCACAGCAAATTGCGAAAGTTCCGATAATGGATGGCATCGTCTACGTTGGGTACCTAACTTGCCGAAGCTTAAAATGGCTGCGCAGCCGTGAAAGTGTTTTTGCCGGGGCGCACTTTGGTTAT